GACTTCATGGAATTAAACTTAGTTTAAAGGGGAAACAGGGAAGAGGGAAAGGGAGGGGAAGGCAGAAGAAGGGGAAGGCTGGTTCACATAACAGAAAACTAGTTCTCCATTTGTTCTGGTCTAGAGAGATGAAGGCCTGGGGAAAAAAAACAAGGAAAACAAACAAGAACACCTGACTTCCCCACAAATATTTTTCCAGTTTTTCCATTGTATTCCACAGGAATTCATACCTTTACCCTGAAGTAGCCCATTGTCTGCTGAGCAATACTGTGATTTCATTGCCTATCTTTCTTTGCTGGCAAAACCAGCAGCACACAGGCTCATTTGCCTCCAGGTCTTGAATGCTGGCAGTTTTAAGTATTTCTAAGCAACTAGAATAAATTGAAGCTTTCATAACACTGCACAAGCTAAGCACAGTTAAGTAAAAATCAAGCAAAACTGAAGTTCTTATTAGTGTGCAGGCTTCAAAGATGGCACTTAGCCTTTGTTTCAGGCTTTTGACAATCAAGTTCTTCTTTTAGTTGTCAATGGATAAAACTACTGTCTATTCTGTGCTTTAACCTACAGATTCTACAAATATGTCTATTCTGCGCTTTAATCATATTCAGTGTGAGTTTGCTTATGACTTCAGTAAATGTCTTAAGACATTTACCAAACCCAGACAGATCCACATATATTTCTGTGATATAAGGATGTGAATACGGATTAACAATTCAACAGAATGGCTTTTTTTTTTTTGCTTGAATCTTGTAACATTCAAAATTAACTTGAACTTTGTTCCCTGACATTTTGTTTCTGTAAGACAATTATACAATGAAAACAGGAGAAGTGCTTATTCTCTAAGAATGAATTTCTGAGTTAAATTGTAAAATGAAATGGAAAACAACACTTTTTAATGTCAGTAAAAGTTTAGTTTTACTAGTTCAACAACCAAGTCCAAAAGTTAAGTATATTAAGCTATTTAAGTTATCCTAAGTTTTTATTATTTTATTTCTTTCATGTCTATACCACCCCATAACTCAGTGATTTGGCAATGCTCCCCTGGGGTCAATGAAAAGATCCAGGGGGCTGGTGATTGGTTGTTTTAAGTTTGCAACAGAACAATAGACCTAATACAAAGAAAGAGGCACGGGGGCACAAGGGTTGTTGCCCGAGAGGAAAGGGCGCAGTAGCCCAAAAAAGTTTGGAGACCACTGGTGTTCACAGCAATTCACAAATTATAAAGCACAACACTACTCAGCACTGCATGATACAACATTACAATAAAAACAGTACAAAAATATTTAAAGTATGAACAAGGTTTTAAATCATTTAACACAACTTAAACAGCTAAAAACAATGTCAATAAATAATTTCAGTATTAGACCTATTCAAGGCAGCTGATATAAATGCCCCTACATTTGCCAGTGAATGCCTACGAGTAGAAGACCGTTTCAACCTGATGCCGAAAAAAATGACAGTACTTGTGTCAGGTGGACCTCAATGGGATTCATTCCACAAATGTTGCTGCCACTTTCTGAGCCTTTCTTAGAGGATGCATAAATAGTCTTCATAGATCAGGAGAGATGTTCCATCAGGCACTATGTCAAGCTTTAGTTTATAGGTTGAAATCAGCACTGTGATTGGACTCAGAAACAAAAGTAGTCAAGGCTAACAGGCCCAAACTGGTGCTCTGTGCTTAGACCTGCTGGTCCTTCTATTAACCTGGATGCCACGTCTTGCTAAATGCACCTTCCAAGCATTCTTCAAGGGGAGCTTCATTTAGAATGTACTGCAGTAACTTGGCATTACCACAGCATAAATCACTGAATCCAGGTTATCCCTGCAGGGGCAAAATCTGGGCCACCAGCTGAAGCTGGTGGAAGGGACCCCATGTCAGTGAAGACTCCTAAGCTGCAAGTGACAGAGATTACTCCAGGAGGATCCTCAAGCTACAAACCTGCTTCTTCAAGAAACTCTATCCAGAAGAGGATATCCATCCTCTATCTGGTCAGAACCACCCACTAGCAGTATCTCAGTCTTGTCTGGATTGAGTTTCTGCTTATTAGACCTCATCCAGTCTATTGACACAGCCAGACTCCAGACGAAACCACTGAGAAGTTTCATGTAGATGTTAAATAGCACGGGGAATAAAATGAACGCCCAAGGGAACATGATGGTGAAGAATCCACTGGCTGAGCAATATGCCCCAAGCACCACCTTCTGAAGACTAGCTCTGTAGAATCTGATTTGCTACAATGATTTGTACTTCCCATTCCCAGTTTAAACAGTTACCCCAACTATGGTTGATCCAGGTGCCAAGAGATCCAAGAGAATCAGTACCATCACATTCCCTCTGTCTCTCTCTCCCAACATACATCATCATACTAAGGCTGTTTCTGTGCCAAAACCCAGCCTGAATCTGAAATGGACCCAAATAATCAGCCTTATCCAAGGCTGCTTAGGCTGGTTGATATGATTATGATTTTTCCAAGTAGAGACAGAATTTCTTCAGGAGTTAATATTTTGAAATACCTCTTTCCCCAAATAGCAACTATAGAATATCTTTTTAAATATGAAGGCATGCAGATTCCAAGAACGAAAAACTAAAGAGCCTTGGGGCTATGAATATCTCAGAAATATAAGCTGTTTGCATCACTCAAAAAGTTTATGACTTGGGAGATTTCCTCCCACATATCTCAAACGGCATCAGAACAATTCACCTCGTCAAATCGCTCACTTCCCACACACCTCAGCATCAAACAACATCTAAACAATCAACAAATGCCTGCACGTGCACTTCCCAAGCACCTCATTCTTTTTTAGCTACTTTGCAAATCTTCCACACACTCACTCCAAATGCACGGGAAACATTTTTATGCTGCATATGGATAAATGTGTGAAGACAACCAGTGAGAGGGAACTGTGTGCAAGATTCCCCTTTCAAATGCGCTCCCCAGAGAGGTCCGCCTGGCGCTGTCATTATTTGTTTTTCGGCACCAGATGAAGACCTTTTTATTCAAATGTCATTTTAATTGTTAACAATATTTGCTTATTTATCTGGCCAGGGCGACTTCTTTTATATCGTTTATATTTTTTATTTATTTTATATTGTTAATTTTAATTTTATATTGTTATTTTTGTATTTTATTCTGTTGTAAGCCGCCCCGAGGCTTCAGCAAGGGGAAGCATAGAAATGTTCTAATAAATAAATAAAATAAATAAATAGGGTGATCCAGTCACACTCAAGACTAAGAATACACATTTGCCCAGTGCGACTGGAATAAGAGACAATGGCCAAAGCTGTATGTGTGCAAGTAGATTAAGAGCTTTGCGATCCCAGGGTTCAGATGCTTAACTTGTAGGGTGGCTGAAAATCATGTCCAAGGCATAGCAGTGTGTAGGTGTGGTCAGGAAAGCATGAGATTGAGAAAATAAGAATAGGAACGGGAGAGCCAAGAAAACAGCCTTTTTTCCTAGCACCCTGACCACAGTTCACTGCAGGAATTTGCTCAGGGCATGCAGTCAATGCTTCACCACTGTCTCAGTCTTTTCATGTAGATCTTCTCCCAGACTATTCTCAACCCTTTTTGCTTGCAATTAACATGCCAGTGAAGTCATATGTGACATAGCAGTTAGAGTATTGAGCTAGGAATGGGGAGTTCTAGTTCCCGCTCAGCCAGGAAGCACATTAAGAGACTTTGGGCCAGTTATGAACTGCCAGCCTCACCTACCGCACAAGGTTGCTGTGAGAGTAAAATGGAAAGGAGACCCTTTTAAGCTTCCTTTGGTTTTTGCAACAGGAAAAAAGGCATGTTAGACATATAAGGGGCTAATAATAACAATATGTTCCATTAGAAAACAACCCACTGACTCATTTTCCCTAGAAAAATGGGGGTGTACTTTCACACATTCCCAAGCACTTAAGCAGCTCTGGAAAATGAGCAAAATATGACCAGCTGTGGATTAGCCTGGGTGAAAAACTGGTGAAGATCTTGTTGTGAAGGGCATGTGAACTCTAAAGCACCCACTTTGCAGCTGAGATTCACTTAATAGGCTACTTTTTGACAGCTATCAAGAGAAACAAAAGAGGGATGCTAAACAATTTTGATGCTCTTTGGGCAATATCCAGGGATGGAACCTGCTGCACCTTATTAGCAGGCAGCTGCAGACAATGTCCTAGCCAAGACTTCATATCTTTGCACTCACGTAACTGCAAAGATTCACAATTGCTCAAGAGGGCTGATTTTTTAAAAGAAGTGTTCAAACTAAAAGTCCAGAGACGTTAGTAATTGGACGGCATACAAATTAAATAAATAAATAAATAAATAAAATGTGCCCCTGCAAGGTGCCACTCAAACATTTTGGAGGGGTTTCAGTGGCTATCAAAATGAGCCACTATGGAAGCTGGCTGGGCAAATGACTACGAAATTGGGGAATATGCAATCGGCAAAAGAGAGAGAGAGAGAGAGAGAGAGAGAGAGAGAGAGAGAGAGAGAGAGAAAGGAAAGCAAGCAGTGGCATGTCAAACAAGGCTTGCAATCATGGCAGAGAGTGGAGGGACAATGCAGTGTTCCCGAGATGCCTGTAGGAGGGCTTTTCAGGGAGAAGATGGAGCAAGAACCAAGGGTGAGTCTGATCGTCTGTCAGACTCATTAGGGGTTGCTTACATGACATGCAACCCACCTATCCTTTTGAGGGTGGGCTAGCACGACTTACAGACATTCACTGTCAATTACCGCGGTAGGAAATCTTTTGGTTACAGCAAACACAATTGCTTTGATTCTGCAGCGTAAGTGCATGCTCACTCCCCTTGCCTGGTGCGCCTCAGAAGAGGGGTTTAGAAACATTTGCTTCGTAACAGCTTGCTACAGAGGGCAGACTGTTGCGATATCTGAATCTGGACACACTGTGGCTAATTTTAAATATGATTTAGTGAAAGGAGTTAGGTGAAATGAGTGAGATTCATAAACTGTGATCTAGTGATCTACAAGAGCCAATTATTTTAATGGATTACTTACTTTTGCTGCACCAATTTGTTCTTTACGAAACTTCTCCAGCGGTGCTATTAAAACATCATTTGCATTCTGAATCTGAAATAAATACATAAAATATGCATCATTTCCGCACATGCATTTTTAGTCTCTCGAGTTACATTACTGATTCTTATCCACAAGCTGCTCATTCCATAAATGGAGATATCTGCAAAGTAATCCCATTCATTTTGTTAAATAGGCAGCCCCAAACAGGAAAGTGGGATGTCTGAATATAGATAGAGACCCCAACCCAGCTAAAAAGCAGTCATGACTAAGACCAGGACCCTAAAACAGATATTTAAACATGTAGAGGATTTCACTGTATGCATTGTTTCAAATTTAACAATCCTGGGCTCCAATAATCCATATGCCCTTCCGATGCATCTCCACTGAAGCTACAGTTTCCTGCCATGTCTGAAAAAGCCAAGGGTGGATTAAGGCCTGTTTATTGGCCAGGATCAAAGTACTGGTATGTGGTGAAAGTACACATTACCACCTTCGTGGGCTATGATCTATAAAGTCAAGATGGCTATGTTCAAATCAGCCCCAAGTCTCATCAAAAGTAATGGGTTCACTGAATCATGATTAATCTGTCCCATTGGTTTCACTTGAATTTATATGCATTCTTATGCACATATCCTCAGAAGGAGGCCCTAGCGAGTTCAGTAAGGCTTACTCTTACGTAAGTGTGCATAGGATTTCAGCCTTAGTTGGACTGGAGACTAAATTTTGTTAATCTATAAACCTTACCAATTTAATGCCACTTCTATTAGTACTTATACTAAAAATGATAGTAGGGACGGACAGTGCATTGCTTGCTATATAGAACACTGCAGACTTACAACAATTATATCTTAGAACAATTCATGAATGAACTGAACATATACAAGTTTAATGTCATCTTGATAATAAAAAGTTTGTACTAAAGCCAGATATTCTTTCTTTGAACCAAGGACAAAAGTCACACACTTGCAGTTTTTTTATTACCTCCTCTCTAAAAACTGTTAAGTATAGCTACATATTCTATTTTCTAAAACACTCCTTTCATCTGATAAAATTTCATGGTCCTAGCCACTTGCTAGAAATAACAGAAGGACAGAAAAGCATGCATGTATGATGCTTTTGCTACAGGTAAGTACATGCAAATTACCCCAAAGGCAATAAGTGATGCTTTGGACATCACAGCAAGCTACCTTAGTGAGCCCATTTATAACCATCCTTTCATGATCAAACGGTTCAGCGTGATGAGAACCCACATTTAAATAGAAGCCTGACATTTTGTATTCCATTTTCTAAAGTGCTTTTGTTGGTGTTATGTGCCATCATCTCTCACCCATGGCAATCCCATGAATGAAAGCTTTCCAAAATGTCCAGTCCACAACAACTCCATTCACCTCTTCTAAGTTCAAGGCTGTGACTTCCTTTATGGATTAAATCCATCTCATGTTTGGTCTTCATTTTCTTCTTCTGCCTTTGATTTTCCCTAACAAAAGCATTTTTAATTTTTTAAATCGTATTTTCTAGATTTGGAGCAAAGGAACTGCCATAATTACAATAAATTATTGTACTGTAACTTAATAAGATACAAGCAACCCTTTTATGTTTGCATGTGGACCTTCACACCTTCCTACACCAGAGATGCTCTAATGGATAGTTGCCTATTTTATCTCACATAGGAAAACAATGGCTTCAAAATAAATTAGGATCTTAAACCAACTTCACATCATGGTTTAAAAAACTGGCTTGTTCCAAAGCTGGCAACCATTGTTTTCTTTGGATGAAACGGGTAACTATGGATAAACTGAGATAACGTGTCTTCATGAGAAACACCATGGGATGAGGAATGAAGAGCTGTGTTCATAAGTAAAAGATTATTAATGCCATGATTTACTAAGGTGCAATGATCCAAACAGGGCAAGTGTTTCAGCAATGGTGCTTTGATCTTAGGGTAGTTACCTAAGGATGTTCATGGAAGGATGTTCATGGAAGAACATCCTGGCATGGATGTCCAGAGACTCTTGGGAGTTGCAGTCCCACACATCTGCAGGATACTGGGTTGTGGAAGACTGTCAGAGAACATACCTAGAAGCCTTCTGGGTATGAGTGAGTTGTGTGTACATTAAGTGCTTGCTTTTAAAATATTATTTCTTGCCAGCTATTGCGATTACTTCCACTACGTTTGTCTCTGATACTCTCTTTGGATGAGAAATCTAAACAGGCATTCCATCTATTCCCAAGTCCTGCATTTCTGAGGTTGAAAGAGTCTTTTTTGTTTAAACCGTATAAATATTTGAAAAGAAGAAGAACATTCCACTTAATCTCCCAGAATGGCAGTTATTTTAGAATAATTAAGTTTTAGTGTTTGAACACTGATGTATTTTAGTTCTAATTGTACCAGATGAAGCAAAGTTTAATATTGTCATTCTCTGCCAGCGTCCAATACTATTTGTATTTGGAGGATAATTTTTATCTGCTATAACCATCTTCTAAACTCAGGAGTACTTAACATGCCAAATTAACAACTGAGGATATTTCTGTAGATGGTATTTAAAGCTTTCCTGCTCAACTGGGGTAGAACTATTAGTAATTATTCTTCAAATCAATTACGATATGCCAACATTACTCATAATGGAGCAAGGAATGGATGGTGCACTCAATATCCATATGCCTTCTTCGCAACAGTTTTTATTGGCACACTTAGAACATATTTGCAACACTTAACATAAATACAACGTTTTCTAATCAGAGTAGGCAAATCCTGAGAAAATACCATAAACCCTGGTAAAGTTCAAACTACAGGCCTGGAAAACATTCTCAGTCACGCTATATGCCCTCATTAGGAATATACAGAAGCTTCCCCATGGTGGCCGTATTTCCAGTTCATTGAATAGTTGCACTGCATGTTCACAGTACTTATGGGCAAAAGCAGATAGCAGATATGCAGTTTTCCCAGGGCAGGATTATGGCTGCAGACTGGCTTGCTATTTTGCAGGATACTAGCCCACTGCACAAACCACACAAGTATTAAAGACCCTTACCCACTACGTGAAACATTATTTTATGTAAGCTTCCCAACGTTACTAGTCTACGTGCAATTCCATACAAAAATGTGGTCATTTTTGACCTGAGAGCCAGTGTGGTGTAGTGGTTAAGAGCATGGGACTGGGACTCAGACGATCTGGGTTCTAGTCCCCGCTCGGCCATGGAGCCAACTGGGTGACTTTGGGCCAGTCACAGACTCTCAGCCCAACCTACCTCACAGGGTTGTTGTTGTGGAGATAAGATGGAGGAGGAGATGTAAGCTGCCTCGAGCCCTTTGTAGGAAAAAGACAGGATATACATCAAAATAATAAATAAATAAATAAATTGCTGGGGATCAACAGAGGATGTATAGAGAGCTTATTTCTGTGCTGGACACAATAAAAGGGAATTGTTTACACTTTGTTCTTTGTTCTTGTGCCAGGCACAGAGGAAGGAAGAATTCTCCAACTCTCTTCCATCATCCTGCTCCCAGGCTTACATACACTTGCTGGCCGTGTAAATAAAAGCAAATACAGTCTCAAATACAAGACTGATAAGCAACTGATCTAACTGTGCAGCAAGTACTAATTCTTTTCTTCCTCCCTACCACCTATACCTTAAGTCAATGTAACTTTTAAGTATATGATATGTACTTTAAATGATAACACCAACATAAACACATACTTCGGAAATGAAAACACCAGTAAATATCTCCTGCAATCAGAGTCCTAGCTTAGTACCAAGTCATATGGGCATACTATGTTTTATTATCATCAGCTGTTTTATAATTATTAATTTTATTGATATTATTGTCTTATTGTATTTCATTCTTTGGTTGCATGCAAGCCACCCAGAAAGCCTCAGGCTAATTGGGCTGCATAGAAATCAAATACATAATATATACTATGGCACAGTAGTGGAATCATATGGCAAGCATTTTCATCAGCAGTGGAGAACCTTTGTGACCCCAACTATACTGTTGGACCTAACTCAGATCAGCTTCAGCCTCCATAGTCAGAGATAAGTTTTGCGAGCTGCATTCCAACAACATGTGGAGCACCACAGGTTCTTTCACCTTGCTTGATAACATAATCAACACACATCACCACCATCTATTCAACATGCAAGATAAAACAGTAAGGCAGCAAGCAAGACAGGCTAAGTGTCATAAAATGCCAATGTAGGCCAAAGAGAAGAGGACGTATTTGTGCTGATGCATAAAATGACAGCAAAATGACAACAAGGTGAACGGAAACATGCCTAGGGAAGGCTTCTTCCTGAACCATGCCAGCTATCAGAGTGATTCACCTGCCTTCCACTCAAACAGGTGATTGTCTCCACTGCTCTCTGCCCTTCTGAGTCCCATAGGCAACCTTTTATTTGCTAAACATTTTAGCAAACTAAGACAGGTAGCCATCTACTACCTACATTAAATGCATAAACATTTTTTTTTAAATGAGACCGTCATCCAAAGCTCTGCACCGAGTGGCCCACAAACAGATCTAGCAGACTGCCTACTTAGAAATGTAGAAACAGAGAAACAGAGCAAATCAGAAGAGGCCTCCTGGGCCATCTAGTCTGACCCCCAGCTCCAGCCACCTCCACTCATGACATGCCTATCATGTGTATGTCCAGCCTATCCTTGAACACCCTCACTGATGTTTTTATTTAAATAAAAAATTTCAACCTAAAAAAAAAAAATTCAACCTAACCATGAGGAAGTACTTCCTGGCATGCACCTTGAATCTTGGCTCCCTGAGCTTTGCTCCATTGGAATGCAACCTGCCCTCCATCACAGGGGGAAAAGGTCACAGGCCACCTCTGTGTGACACACTTGTGAGCAAGCTTTTTCTATGGTTGCCCCTGACTTGTGGAATGCCCCCCCCCCCATTTTAAAGAATGGGATAGGGTCTGGTATCCCATTTATTGACTTTTCAGCACCAAGCAAAAGCTCCTGATTCTCCCAGGCCTTAAGCACTTTTAACTGCTGCTTGCTTTATTTTGCATATATGTAATGCTACCTTTCAGAAGTATTC